GTCTATCCAAATCCAAGTGCATGTTCCTGAAGACTTTCTCACTCAAGACCACTGAAGTACCTGAGCATCCTGCTCTCAACCCTGGGGCATTTGACCTGTGGAACACCTTTACACCTTGCAATAGGCACAACCCAGGCTGCGAGCAGGGGAAGACGGCAGCAGCAGATTCCCCACCCAGTGAAGATCTGCACTGAGATGGCTGTCCTTGTGCTGACTGACTCCCCTCCAGTGCTGCACGCCCAATTCAGTGTCATGTTTGGCAAAAGTGTTGAGTGCCTCTGTGCCACAAAGTGCATCACCCAGCTCAGTCTCTGACACCCTGCAACAGCCAGAGCCATTTACCACTTTTCTGAGTGCTTTTTAGTCTGCATTTCATAAAGGCAAGAGGCTTGTATAATCCTGAGGCCTGACTGCCTGTTTTTGTCCCCAGTATCCCTAGGGTAACCTTGATGAAATTTGGCCAAGATGCCCCAGAAACACTGGAGTTCTGATAAACTTACTGAAAATTGGTGGCTGGGCAGAGAAGAAAGAGAGACCCACATCAGCAGCCCTGTCCACAGAAGGGAGGCCGAGCTCACCTGGTAGGAGCTGGGTTTGGTGGCAAATGACGTGCCACTCAGCACATGCATGGGCCACCCCTCAGCACGTAGGCACAGCTGGGGTGGCCATGCCACCACCTCTGGCACAGCAGCAGTATTGCTGGCAGTGAGATTTAATGGGCCAGGCAGTTCAGCAGAGGTTGGAAGCCTATTTTTATCCATCCCACCACTCAACAGCTTGTTGCCTGATGCTTTTAAAAACTGGCAGTTTGCAGTGCATGAAAAGACAGTTCCTTTTTCTTTGTATATTTCTTTGAATTGCTTTTGCAATGACATTTTTAGTAGCTGTTTCCATTTAATTTTCCTCTCTCTTTGGGTTTAACTGTGCTCATGCTACCACAGTTAAGAATCACTGGCCATTTAACGGTTCACCTTTCACTTTAAGCAGACACGTTTTACATATTGCTTGTCCATAGGCCACATCCTCAGCAGCTGACAGCTAACATTCTGTGCTTGTTCAGGGGGGTCTGTCACTTGTACAGACAGAGCAAGCGCAGATCTGGGGGAAGGCTGCATGTGAGTGTAATGGGAACCAGGATGGGTTTGCCTCAGGATGCCTCCCAGACTATAAAGGCCAAGCAAAGAGAGTGTCAGAGATGTTTTTAAAGCTCTTATTTTGAGTTTAGTCTGGAGTGCTGGGCTAGATGTAATCACTTCCATGCTCCCTTTCTTCCTGTCCCCTTTGGGATGGGTTATAAACAGCCCTGATGACATGCTTTGCCCTCCTCTTCTCCTCCTGGCCCCTTGGCTCAGTGTGGAACAGAGCTCGTGCTGCACCACATCACACCTGCAGGCACCCAGTTCTGGCCAAGGCTGAGCAAGGCTGGTGTTGGAATAGACTGCTGGTAACTCACTTCTCTGGGCCCAGTCACCCATGTCTGGCTCTCTTACGACATCTACCAAACACGTCAGCCTGAGGAAGGAAGCCCTCGCCAAGCAGTTATCGGGAGGCTCCCCAGTGAGCTTGCATGGGAACAACACACCATCACAACTAAGGGTTTGGGACTTCTCACCAGAACGCCCATAAGCTGGGCAGTGCATGCAAGTTATGGATGGACACTGAGGTATGGATGCTCAGAGCACAATGAACATTTCTAGAAGCAGAAAAGCACCAAAACATTCAGATGCCTCTAAGCCACCCACAAGCAAGCAGCATGTGCCACAGGCTACAGCATCCAGTGCTTTTGCTCTGCTCCTCTGCAGGGATAACTGGGACTAAAGCAGTCCCAGTCCAACACATGCTTGAGAGTAACAGTCTGTTTGCTTCAGCTCCCCAGTGAATTGTCATCTTTCCTAGGAAAGATAAGGAATTTGTTCAGTGTTACGTAATTTGTTAATTTTTGCTTTACCTGGCATTTTGTTACCTGCCCCTTGGGGCTGCAGGTGACTGGACAGGTTTGACTCCCTTGCCAGGGGGAGCAGAGTTGCTCTCAGCTGGGAGAAGAACAGCCCCGGCCAAGGACCACCTCCAGATGAGCACTTTGGCTTTGTGGTTATCTTAGTTGGTAGGAGAGCTCTTGCTCCACCTCCAGACCAGAGCTCTGCTCATTTTCTTTCTTTGCAGATTCATATGAAGCGCAAGGGGAAAGATGCAAACCTGGAAAGTGGGATGGAGACAGCCCTAGGGGTCAAAATTGATGACCTTACAGAACAAAAAAAACTAAGAATGTTTTATCTAACACTGATAACTTGGCAGCAATGGGATGGGAATTTGGGTCTTCAGAGAGACCACAATGCTTAGCCAGAGACCCACCACCTGTTTGCCACACCAGTCGGGCCCTGCCCTTCTGTGAGGCGAAAGGGGACACACACCAAACATGTTAGACATTTAGTCCTGCCCCGGACACCTCTTATAGCTCTTGGTGAAATACCCCTTGCTCTGGAGGGTCTGCTCCCCCTCCTCTGGGCAGTCATTGAAATTCACTTCCCAGCCCCAGGATCTCAAGTCCCTCTTGACACATCATCTCTCTCTTCAGTCCTTTCACCAACACTCAGCCCTTTAATCTTTCTCCTTTGCTTCTACTCTCCCCATTTTTTTTTGGGCAAAACAGAGTGACCAAAAGATTAATGTTAATTATTGCTCCAGAATTGTGCTGCAAATGACATAGTTCCACAGGAAGCCATAAGGCCAGTTAGCATTTTATCAGCACAGGGACAGCCTCCCTTTGTCCCAGGGCCACACATCCTGCTGCTATCTTGTATCAGCTCCGACTCTAGGAATAGATCTAAGTCACTAAAACATTCCAAACTAACTCACTGCAAAAAATAAAAACCAACCATACAACCAACTGGCCCTTAAGAGGGAAGTGGTCAGGATTTCATGGGCTGGAGAACAGGAGAAAGCCCTGAGGACAAGAGAAGAAGGGAGCAAGAACAGGGAATGGTCCTTCTCTTCTCAATGGCAACAAGTCCCTGGGTATGTCCAGCCAACAGTGGAACCACAAACGGTCAGTCAGTGCCCTCTAAAGGATGGCTGGGCAGGGCCACACTCCCAAGTCTACAAAAACACCAGGTTTGGCCATAATGGGTCCCAACTGTAACCCAAAATGCTTTGGAAGCCAGAGACACCACAAAATTCACCTCAACAGAACAGTTATTATGATATGTAACAATGGCAGCACCCTACTTTCCACCTCGTACAGGTAAGAGCAGCCTGATAAAGCAGTTACTTGATGGCCAGTACAATCCCTTTGAACCAAGAGGAAAACTGCTGTGGTGTCAGTAATGGAGAGGGGAACAGGGTCAGCTTTGGCCAGAAAGCCCACGTCATGCTATGGCAAGCGATCTGGCTCCTTTCACAAGTGAGGGCCACAGTTTGACTATACAGTACCTTGGGCTGCAATGTCCTAAAACTGCGTTAAAGTGTGTGACATGAAGTATTTACTGAAATAAACTCCTCATGGTGGAACACTTTGCCCAAACAACTGTCAGTTTTACTCATACAGGCAGAAGCTTTATGCAGGTTCTGTCATCTGTGCGTGGGTCAGGGTTTCATGGCAACTCATATATAGAATCTTAGAACACTGAGTTGGAAAGGGACCCACAAAGATCAAGTACAACTCCTGGCCCTGCATAAGACCTTGGAGGTTTTGTTGTCTGTTCCTTTTTCTTCTCCAATTGCCCCTTTATTCTCCATGTCACCAGCTTCCTTCAAATACAGATCCTTTCAATCCTGTTTGCATCTTCTCTCTGCTATGTGCAGGTCTCCTCCTGCTTCAGATCTCAGGTCTTGTGTCCAACTCCAGGAAATGCTTGCCCAGATCCTCCTGCCACTGATGCAAATTCACCCAGGAAATGTGAGCACAGCACAGATATTGTGCTGGCAGTGGGAGAGGGGAGCCTGGCAAGCAGATCCTTAGGTGGGCACAGCATTGTGGAGCCAATAGGCATTGATCAAGGTGAGAAGTGGGATTTCAATCAAGCCAGCACAGACTCAACAAAAGCTAATTCACGTATGACTCTCATTTTGAGGGTCCCATAAGGGCTTATTGCCACCAGCCAACTCCTCATGCTGTGCATGAGCTGTGTCTCCATGCCCTCCACAATCCTTCCTCAGCAGACATCCTTTCCACGCCACGCTGCCAACGTGGACCCAGCCCCTGGGCTCAGACCAGGCTACAGGAGGCACTGTGTGGCCACACACAGCCCAGCCTTGCCACCCACCCTGCCTCTCTGTCCTCCATCAGTTTCACACAGGTCTGTGAATCACATTCTACTTCAGTTTCGTTTTGACTTTTGCTTTTCCTCTCTGCAACTCGTTATCAGACAGTCCCTGCAGTTTTCTTTGGCTCACCATGTGAACACAGATAATTAGTCACAGGCTGTCAGGGCCTGCAGGACTGCGCTACAGGAGGTACAGAGGATAATGGCAGGATCTGGGTTAGAAAATCACAGGCTACTAATTCAAAGGTGGCAGGATCACAATAAAATTGTTAAAGGATCTGGACTGAGACCTGTGAGAAAAATTTGGGGCAAAGCATCATCTGTAAGAAACACAGAAATTTGTCCTGCATAAGGAAAATCTCAAGTCATAGTGAGCAGATAAAGAAGTTTATAAACTAAAGGAGTAGATAAGTTTATAAGCTAAAGGAGTAAACTGACCAAAGCATATTTTGCTATTTGGTCCTTTTGGTTCTCATGGTAAGTAAATGAACTGCAGCTGGTCCAGTGAAGGTCCATGTTTTCTCTCCGGTAACACACTCTTATGCTACCACCATCAGCCTTTTGTAAAGGGAATATACACACAAAATTCCCACAACACAAAAGGGCTGGCACTTCATCATGCACACAGTGTGCACGTAGCACAGCAATAGCAGCTCCCTCTGAAATAGAGAATCACAGGCTGGCATATGCTGGCACAAAAATCATTATCCCATACACATGCTAATTCAGCAGTGCCCATCTGAAACAGACTATCTGTTCATGCCAGAGTTCACTCCAGTCTGACCCACTCCCTGAGCCAGCACCACAGACCAGAACACTTTCAAATGCATATACTGGAAGACAGAGATGTCTCTGTTAGAATAAAAGTACTTCAAAAAGAAAAAAAAAAAAAACTAAACAAACAACCCCCCCAAACAAACAAACCCCAAAACAAACAACCCACCCCAAAGACAACAAAAAACAAACAAACCAACCCCAAAACAAAAAACAAAGAAGCAAACAAAACCAAAAAAAAAAAAAGGGGGGAAAAAAATGTCCTGTACTTCCACTGGGGATACAATTAGAAGGAACTGCAAAAATGGGAACTTGGGTCAGAGATCAAGAAAATAATTTCCAAGTTAAGGAGAGTAAAGCCCCGGAATAGACTGCCTTTGAGATTACTGAATTACTATCCTTGGAGAATTTCTATGAAAAAGCTTGAAAAATCTCAGTCAGGATGATACAGCGTTCTCATTTGGGAAGGGAATGGAGTTAGAACACCTACCACGCTTCTTTCCTGTCTCTTCCTTGCATTCCCTAGCATCTCTCCCCTCAAATTCTGCATCTTTAACAGTCTACAGTCTAGGTGCTTAGAAATACGGCAATAACTGTTTCCCAAGTACACAACACTTACCAGTCACTATGTGGAACCTTGAGGACAATCAGGAACAGCAGCATGATACTCACATGTTTTTTTGATTGGACTACTCTGGCTCCTAAGAAATAATGTAACTACTGATGAAGGGAGCAAGCCTCAGAGCTAACCAATTCTGATTCTAGCTAGTAAAGGGCAGAGGGAAACACAAACCTGTTTTTCACAAAACCGTGATTTGGTGGTTTTCTAAGTGAGGGGGGTGGACTGTATCTGGCAGAGGATGTGGCTGAGAAGAGGTGGCCGTATTAGGGACAGGGATGGAGCAGCACAAAGCTCACTCTTGGGAAAGAAGAAGGGGTGAGAGAGGACAACCATCAGGAGGCCCAGAGCAGCTGAGCCTGTCATTAGAGCAGTCTGTGACAGCCGGGCATGGACTTGCCCTGCTCCGGCTCTCCACTGTCTCTCTCCTCCAGACAGTCTTCCCAGAGCACCTCCTTGCCTAGCCTTGGCTGTGGTACCTCTTCCTCTGCACATCCATCTTTCCAATCCTGACAGTATCTCCAAAGGCTTAATAATTAACCAGTTCTTAGAGAGAGGAGGGGGAGACAGAGTATACTCTTGAAGTGTTATGAGGGGAAAAATGCTGCAACATTCCTGACCAAACTTAGCTCAGTACCTTCCTATTTCCTCAACTGCACTTGGCATTGGAATAAACAATCCCACTGCACAAACCTGTCGCTTTGTTTGCCTCAGGCACATTATAAAGTAATTAACTATTACCTTTCCCGTGTCATGACTGCCTGAGAATGACACTTCTTTCCCTGTTCATTGCCAAAGTGATTTCTCCTTCACAAGTTCAGTAAAGGAAACAGACATACAGTTCTTTGTATGAATGAAGAATAGTCCCAAAAATAAGAAAGCAAAGTTGCTTTTGCCCATATTCAAGAAAACTCAAATTACAGAGCTCTTAAGTCTTGATGTGGGGTTTTTCCTTTTTTTTCATTTTTTTATTAAACAAATTACTCAGAATTTGAGTTTGGCTGGGCTGAAAAGATTATCTAGCACTGAAAAGACTATCTGGACTAAGTAGGCTACCAAAAGCAAACAGTGTTATCAGCCCAGCACTCAGTTTAAAGAAACTGGCACTCCCCTTCAAAAGGTACATGTTCTTCCTTATCTCTTTAACACACACCATCAAGGTTTTAGCTTTCACAATGTCATTTTAGCACATGGGATTGCTCTGTGGCTGAACAGAAAAGGAAAATGCTGAGATGTGAAAATGATCAAGCAGTTCCTGAAGTCAGAAACAGTTTGTGTATTCTGAATAATAAACCCTTCTTTTTAACATTAACTATCAGCTGTGTTAAATAATAAAAAATTGATCTTCAATATTGGTACTTCACAGATACAATTTAAAAAATGCTTCCTGTGGCTAACTATAAAGCTGGTTTTGTATAATTTTCAACAGTTTAGTTCAATCCATCATGTATCAAAAAGTCATAATTCCTAGGCAACAGAGAGAAAATTTATTGAAATCTGAACAAATTTCAGTAACTCCTCTACTTCAATGATAGCCTAGAATAAAAAAAATAATTGCATTCACAAATCAGAATACCACTGGCACTAAAGTAAAATCTTGTATCTGCCTAGAGCTTTAAGTTACAAAGGATCTTTATTTAACTTTGGTAGGGCTTATGTTTAGAAAACATGTATCTGTGTAGCCTGAAATATTAATCAATTGCTGTCAGTGAAAAATATTGTGCAAAAATTATTCTTTTCCCTATTTGTTAGTTCTAAGAATATTGAGTTGAAAGGAGGCAACACATGCATTAGGTAACTACTTTTACCTTGATTGCAAAAACACTTCGAAGATTTACAATTAAACAGTTACTGCCTCTCATTCAATTCCTGTTTGACTTAGATTCCCTGAAGCTGACAAAGGAAACACGGAGTTTTATCTTCCAGCTAAATTTCAAACCTGGCATTTCAAAGAAGCAGTGCCTGCTAAGAAGGACAACTTCGAGGCCTAGCCACACACATGTAACACCTGCAAGGACAGGACGCGCACTGGGCCCGGGCAATAAGCCCAGCTGATGAGACACACTTGCTACAGCAACTTTTATCAGCCACCATATGGAATTTGAGAGCAGCAGAGCTACAGTGGATCTTGGAGGGACCCAGATGAAAATATCGGGTAATATAAGGGCTCTCCTGCCAGGATCCCTCACAGACCCTAAATCTCATCGGGGCTCTGGACTGCAGTTCTGGGTGGGCAATTGGCAGAACTGAGCACAAGCATCCAAGTCCTCTATGCGATTTAATCCTAAATTATTAGCAGAATTTTGCAGGACCAGAATCTAAAGTTTAATGCAGACCTTGTGCCTCAACCACAAAATTGTCCCTTCTTGTTGCCTTAAAACACTTAGGCCACATCTTGAAAACTAAGTTTGTTACAGGAGAAGGACAAGATATTTGTTTTGGGCACCACAGCTAACTATACCTATCTCCTACTTCAAAAGAGTCTTCTCTTATAAAGGATAAATAAAGCCCCATGTAATACTTTTGATATTATAAGGGTGGTGGTGGGGAGGGAGTAGACATCAAAACTAACAGTTACATCTTTGCTTCAGGTCAAAGCCAAAGCAGTGCAATCTATGAGGACAAGACCTGAGATGCATATATATTATTTTGCCAAAAGAACAAATATTGGACATGATTAATTAGAAAGTTCCAGTGCTTCTGAACAATAACTTGAACTTTCCTGGATATCCATCTAAGGCTTAGAGTGCATTTTTACTGCCTTACTATCATTTAGTGTTAGAAAACTCTGAAGTCATACGCTGTTAAGAGGCTAACTGCAAGATCACCAAAAAGGCCCTTTCTGCTGAACAGAACTTGCAAATTTAAAGAATTAAGCTGGGTAAGGAAGGAGATATGCCTTACCATGCTCTGGGCTCTATCTTGCCATCGTCCAGAAGTGCCGAGGGCAGAAATGGAGCAACTTAACTCTCAGGAAAGATAAGGAACATGCCAAAGGAAGAAGAAACATGTAAGAATATGTCCAAGTGCCAATGACAGAGAAAACAGCAGTATGAAAAAGGACAGTCTGGGGAAAGGAGACATGCTGAAGAACAGAACCACATAAGAAGGGAGAGAGCAGAAACAATGCACAACACATCCTAGGGAGGGCATTGTAAACTAGTATTTAGACTAGAGAAGGTTTTTTTCCTATAAAAATCACAGTTTAAATTTTAACACATCAAACCTCACTATAAGAACTTGCTGACTCTGGCCATCTGCTTTACTCATCTGAGAGAAGCCACCACAGCTACAGCAGGACGTGTTCATTTGTCAGCTGCTCCAGGTGCAAGTCGGTACCTGTTTAAAGCCAGCGTGGGGTGGGGGCTGAATGAGGACGTCACACTTTCCCAGGGGACACAGGGAGATGCCAACTCTGCCATGAGGTTGGTCACCTCCAACAAGGGCAGTGAAACTGCAGCAGTTGCTGAGTGCAAGGGGAATTCTTCGCATGTAACAGCAAAATTCCACAAGTACTCACCTCTCTGGCTCTATCTGAACCTGTAATGGCAAATGCTGATCAAAGATGAATAAAACAACGTACGAAACATAAAACAAGACAATAAAATAAAGTGCAAAACTGCAGACCATTCTTGCTCTCTTGAAGCTGTGTAAAGAACAAACAAGAAAAAAAGACAAGCAGAAGAAAAACTACATCAAATGTAATAGAGCTGTTATCCCCAAGACTTCTGCATATCCACAATCTGCCTTCCTGCCTTTACACTCGTAGTAATGTTTAGCACAAGTGTAAGTACTTGCACATTTGTTTAGCAGGAAAGAAGCAAAATTTATTTGATTTGTTACTTTGTGAGAATCTGAAACATGTTTAATCAGCTGGTAATAAAAAAGTCCATAGAATTCTAAATGATAGGAAAATATTTTCACTTCTTGTGAAAGGCTTCAGGGGTTTTTTTTAGGACTAGGGAAGCTCGCTAAAAATAAGAGTATCCCTGTCACAGGTTTTCCAAAATCCGTAGGACTGCCTTGGTGTTTAAGGAAAGACTGGACGTGGCACTCAGTGCCATGGTCTTGTTGACGGGGGTGTTCGGTCATACGTGGGACTCGACGATCTGAGGTCTTTTCCAACCCAATTCATTCTGTGATTCTGTGCGTGATTCTCCCCGAAAAATTCTTTATATGGCACAAGTCACGACATTGATTTGACAAGCTTCTATCGTTGCCTTACACCACCTCCGAAAACTGCTCGGGATGACGGCGGAAACGCCACACACACAAAGACGCGAAAAGATGCTCAGGAAACTCCCGGTACCACCCAGCCCACAGCCCGAATTCCAGCGTTTTGGCACAAAACACAGCGATAAAACACGTTTAACTCAAGGGACGGCCAGAGCGGAGCGCAGAAACCGCTAGGAGCAGCTTATTGCTTGTTGACAACACCTCTGCCGGAGCCGCCCCAGCTCCGAACTTCCTGCGCTCCCCGTTCCCCTCCCGCGCACGCGCCGAGCGCCTCCGCAAGCCCCGCCCCGGCCCGGCCCCGCGCGCGCGTCCTTCCCCGGGGGCGGGGCGGGGCGCGGGGCGCACGCGCAATGACCGCTAACCCTCCCCCGCGCGCCCCCCACCGTTGGTCCACCCGGCCCGCACGCGCACTCGGGCCCGCCTGCCTCCCCCCGCGTCGCGCACATGTGCGCGCTCCCCCGCGCACGCGCTCTGCCGCCGAGCCGCCCCCCCCGAGCGCGCTGACCCTCGTGACGCCATCTGTGCGCAGGCGCGGCCCGCGCGCCACCGCCCCTTCTCTCCGCCGCACCCTCGCGCATGCGCTGGAGCCGCCTCCCGGTGCCGGCCGCGGCTCGTGTCCCCGCCCCTGCACGCGGGTACGCGTGCGCGGCGCCGTGCGTGGCGCGCGGCGCGGCGGGGGCGGGGGGCGGGGCGAGTATATATAGAGCGCGGCCGGGGCGGTGGCCGCCCCCTTGTCCCCCGGCCGCCGTCGGAGCTGTGTGCGCAGTGCGTGTGCTCCGGACCACCCGGACACGCCGGCCCGGCCCCGCAGCACCATTTATTACTAAAAAAAATATTTAAAAAAGCCAAAAAAAATCCAAAAATCTTAAAAAAGCCTTTTTAAAAAAATAATAATCCTCTCTCCTCATCCAACCTCCCCGAACAACCTTTCTGCAAACGGCCGGTTTGATATAAAATAACCCGGTGAAGCGAAGCCCCCGGACCCGGCGCAGCCGAGAGGAGACACAAGAGCGAGCCCGACCCCGCCGAGCGCAGCACCCGCCGCCAGCTCCGCCCGGTCCGCACGGAGCGCCCCGACCCCCGCCCGCCCATCCGCCGCACCCGCCGCAGCCGTTGAGTCCGAGCGGCCCCGCGCCGCCTCCGCCGGCCCCGCTCGCAGCGACCGCCGCGGCCTCCGCCTCGTCAGCGCCCCCCCCGCGCCGGGAGACGGCGGCAGGATGAACCCCAGCGCCCCCAGCTACCCCATGGCCTCGCTCTACGTGGGGGACCTGCACCCCGACGTGACCGAGGCCATGCTCTACGAGAAGTTCAGCCCCGCCGGGCCCATCCTCTCCATCCGCGTCTGCAGGGACATGATCACCCGCCGCTCGCTCGGCTACGCCTATGTCAACTTCCAGCAGCCCGCCGACGGTGAGTGCCGGGCCGCAGGCGGTGGCGGAGCCATGTTTGTCCCCTGTCCGCCGCCCAGGCCGCCGCCCCGGCCGCCGCCCCGCATCCATTTTGCCGCCCGGGACGGGGCGGCCCCGGCGGGGCGCGGGGGGAAGTTGGCGGCAGGGCCGGCGCTCACACGCGGCCCGGGCCGCCCGCCCCTCGTGGCGGCCGCAGGAGCAAGGGGGGGGGAGGCGCTTCGGCGCACCGGGAGCGGCCGCGGGGCCCCGGCGATGGGCGGGGGAGCGCCCGGGGCCCGGCGGGGCTGGCCCCGCTCCCGGGGAGGGGGCTGTGGGTGAATGTGCAGGCGGCTCTCCACAGACGTCCGAGGTGAAGGATGGCTGCGGGAGAACATCGCGGTCCTTAGCGGCTTTTAATTACCGCGCAGGGGCTGGGTGTGTGTGAGTACGTGGTTCGGAGGCCGGCAGGAGGAAGTAGGACGCACCGGCGTGGCCGGGCAGTTTCACAGGCGGCCAGGCCGGAGCGTTTGTTGGAGCACCATGGCAGGTCTGTCACGTGCGGGGAGGGCATGAAGCTGCTCGGGCCTCCTTGTGCTCGCTCCTCGTGTGGCTGTGGCCCAAGCTGTTCTCTGATTCATTTCTCAGTAAACTCCCTGACGTGTTTCCCGAGTTGTGTTTTTTATGAAACTTGTTTTTTCACGAAGTGTTGCTGCTTCTTTAAAGTCATATCGATAACGAAACTTTCCATGTAGTTCTGGCCATGTTGGCAATACAGCTTGTTCACTTGCAGGATGTTTCCGTAAAAGAACCAAATGTGACTGGTTTTAAGTTTTATGGAGTCCAATTTACAGAAAAATACTAACTTGCTCATTAGAATATAAGTGATTTCAAGTACAGTTAAGTAAACAGCTTTCTATTGTAATGGTTTTATTTTCAAGCATATGAAAGTGAGAGACTTAAATTACAAACTTTTCAAGCAATTAGATTAACTGGCTCTCAAAATTGGCTTTAGCATACAGCCATTATCAGATCAGACTTTGGTGTACCGATGATAACTGTATGTAAGTAGTAAAAGTTAGTGCCTCATCTTAATAGGCAGATATTCCACTTGTTATCAGCTCTTTCTGTTCAGAGAGCTTTTGATTTATTCAGCCATTGTTTAGAGTGAGACAATTTGAGTGCTTATTTTGACATACTTGCTTTCATTCAATAAAAGCATATGGTACAGTTTCTCAAAAAGAAAGGTCAGTACATTGATATGATAATGTCAGGGCAGAGACTGAAGGTAATTCAAACGCTTCTCCTCCTTAGTACTGACAGAATCCTGTAAGGGCCAACTTTATCATTGTCATTAGTTGAGCAACCAGTACGTTTTGTGACTTGGTTTGTAATTTGACAGATGTGGGAACAAATACAGCTTTTTCACCTGAGCAGAGCTTAATTCAGAGGGAACTTTCCTCTTAGAAAGACGCTGTTACTCCAGATGTTATAACTATTTTTCTGACTTTAGGAAACACATGTATTTTTTTTATAACTAGTCCAGTTCAGCTAAAAGTATTTTTGATCTGTATGAAACCTGCATCTGGCATGTATCTGGAAGCACTTGTTTACAATATGCTTCGATGATACTGTGTGATTATTCTTTTTTCAACATTTTTAGAATTGGATGTTTTTGGCAAATACCTAAAAAGTATTTGCTGGTCTTGCAGGTCATTCTACCTCTTTACTGAAACCTTGAAATAATGGCTCTGAGGGTGAGTGGCTAGTCTTACCGTGATAAGGGTTTCATTTTGATTTCAAAGTACCTTTTCATGGTTTAGCCAAATTTTTAGCTACATCTCAGGCTATGCCTATTAAACAACCAGTAACAATTAGCTTGGGTTTTGAAAAATGTTTTTGAAGGTGTGCTTGGCATTACCAGCTGTCTGTAAACTAGGGTTCTCAAAGCTCTTCCAGAAACTAATTAGACCTGATGACACATTTGTGAGGTATGCACATGTTTCATAGTTGTGACTTTTCTGAATTTGAGTCAGAGTCTGGAGTAAAACTCAGGCAATCTTGTTTAATCACTAAACTAGAAATATTCTTGAGTAGTCTGAAACTGCACTACTTCGAATTTTTGGAAAGGTTATGTTTCCAGAGGTTAATTATTTAGCAAATAGGTATTGCTATTTGCGTTTAGCGTGGGTTAGCATTAAGGGTATATTCTGTGTGATTTTGAAATTGTTTAAGTGGACTGTCCAGTTGCTCACGACTAAAATGGGAGCTGG